TATGGGGTCCTGCAATTTCCCCTAATGTGTTTTGGTTGTTGACTGTARGTATAAAGTTTGCAGTGGGCTTATGGTAAATCTGCCAAAAGCCAAACAACAGGGACAGTAAACTCCTTTTCTTTACAGTCTRTTTTTTACTGGGCTTGTCTTAAAAGCTTCTCTTCCAACCCTTCTATTTCTCTTTATGTCAAACAGAGCTGAAAAACATATTTATATCCAGTCAACCAGAGTTACTGAAAAATAATTAGGATTGTTCCAAATAGAAAATATATCAGATTAAACTTCCTTTGGGAAAATGCCTGACTGCTTGCTCTGAGTAAACACACCAATGTTATTAACTCGTGGATCTTGTTTCTCTGTTCTTTCTGTGTGTTGGAAAACAGAGAACCAGGTGCAGCTGCCCACCTTATTGTTTCCCTTCCCCTTTTATATTCTCATCATGGATGTATTAAGGGACTGGCTGAAACAGGCCCCCAGTACACAATRTTATGCTGTGCTGGCCCTTCTGAATCAGAGAATTGCTGTCCTAGGGGGATTTCTAAACTTTCATTCCAGCATTTCTAGATTTCAGCTSTGGCCACTGGATAAGGAAATATGTCTTGTGCAATGAAGCTGAAGAGAAATTAAATTTTTCTGAAATTAGGGTTATCCTGTTTCTGTGGTAGTACTCAGGCAGAAAGAATTCTTCAGGGTATCTTCAAATCTTCAGCGCGGTGTGGCTTGGATGTCAATGCTTGCAACGAGAATCTGTCACATTAGGGGATGCTCACCTCCTGCCTGCATGATTCCCAGCAGTTTTGTGATGAGTTTTCTTGCAGAGTGGTGTGGGATTTTAATACAATAATCTGTACATTAGTGGGAGTATGTCATGCCAGGGCTAAACCATCCTGGCCAGAAGAGGAGCCACAAATCCCAGTGCATTRAAATTCAGCAAACTTCAAAATTATGTAAACATAATATATTGAATTAGCTCAGATAGCTCGTTCACTTTAACAAGACTTATTTTCTTCTCAGTGTTGACCTCAAACCCAAGCACAGCTAACTCCAGACCTTGAAGAAAATGCTGTAACATTGTAAGAARTTATGTAAAACTAGACTAAGTGTACAAGGAAGGGGWTTTTGTGGGGTGGGGAGAGGCAATCAGGTTTGGCAGGTTGGAATTCAAGGCTGGAGTATGCAAAGTCTCTCAAACATGAGTTTCCAAAGGCCTTTGTATCGTGCCAAGAGAGCTGTGCTGGGTTTCATTTCTCTTTGAGCTTGCATCAAGATTAGATGTCATTGAATGCTGCTGGCTTTTTAAGATTACTGGATTAGTAGTGATTTAGGTTGTTTTACCATACATCTTATTTCCTGATCAATGTGACATGAGTTTTAAACAATTTTGGCATTCACTGCTGTGTCACAATTTATACAACTATGAATTTCATTAGTGATTTTCAGCATTTTCCCTGTGGTTTCTGGAACAGCCAGAAATGCCTGCTCTGCTACAGCATTTTTGGTTTGAAATTGGCAATAATACATTTTCCTGAGCCAAAAAATTACCATCTCACATTTGAATTGAAAGCTGCCATGTACTTTTAGTGGAGAGGGAGAAACCATTTAATTTATCTTCTGTATGGGAKAAGTAAAAGCAAGCTGTTATGCTCTTTGAGGCAAAATGTATTTTCACTGGTGAAGAGCTGTAATTTGCCTTATGTAATTTTCCTCATTTTTGTACTTTGTTTTTGTCTGGTAGCATAAGAGTCCATAAATGATTCAAATGCTCAGATCTYTCTCCTTGCTCAGTGTCTGGGGAGTGATGCATGAAGCCAACTGGTTGCCTAGGAAAGGTGGCTCTTTTTTCAGCAAGGAAATTGTGAGGGCTATATGGAGWGTGATGAAAGTGCTCTTCACAAGGCATTATCTATGCAAAAAAAAAACCCTGTAAGTGTCCGTGTCCTGAGAGCAGGGCTGATTGTTCTGGGCTCCTGCCACCAGGAGACTCTTACTTCCCCACCTGTGGATTTTCTGTTCTTTCCACTGCTATGAGTTCTTTTAGGTGGGTCTGCTTGACTTTGTGTGAGCAAACCCATTTATAGCAGGAGAGGAAAGCTAATCCMAACTGAATTTCAGTCACCTTTGCCTTCTGGAATATATAGAATTTCCCTTGAAGTTTTTACAGAGTCTGCAGTCGGCACAAAACAGACCTACTGGCTCCTTTGATATTTTTAAGCCTCTGCTTCATCAATTGTGCAGGCTTTTGGTTTATTTCCAATTTCAGTCCAACATTCAGGTTTTGATGTAGAGACCCTGATGTTATTTTTGATCTTTTATCTTGCTTTAACTTTGTTTCCTTGTGTTTGTTCCTAGTGGTAAATTTGGTTAGGAGAGAAATTATTATTTCAGGGTAAAGGWTGCAGTGAGCACAAGAGGGGATTTTTAGATTCTGAGGCACCTGGATGGTCTGACAGATCTGGAGCTTCATTTCAGGAAAAAACACAGTATCTTCCCCGTCTACAGAAAAATACTGAAGTTGTGGTGATTTGAGACACATGGATGCTAAAAGACATTGGAGTGGATGTTCTATGGAATAGGAGGAACAATAGAGAAGTAGAGAGGCTTTGTGTGCATTCTCAGAAGAGCAAATCTTTTAGTTCATGAACAGCAGGAAAAGTGGAAATCACATTATCCAGGGAGGTTCAGTCAGTTGCTAGTTAAATGATAAAAATTTCACAGATAAATTGGTATTTCTATATACATAGTGTGAGAAGAATGAAAAAAATGTGCCTCCCTTTGTTCAAGGAGTTATTTCCAGATTGCTTTTATACTTTATATATAGTTATATGTATGGGGGAACTTGTGCTTAAAGCTGATTTTGAGGGTGGGTGCTAGTAATTCTTTCATTTTTCTGASGAAGATTGAAAGCAGTGGGATTTATTCTGTACATAAATGCAATCAAGGTAAATCAGCATTTTTACAYAGAAGCAGATTCTGACTACTGAATGGAAGTCCTGCTTTACTTCTGTAGTCTAAAGGTTTTATTTGGCAATTTTCAGTAAACTGAGTAGCCTTTGTTTCCAYGAAAGAGAAGTTTGCGTGTGGTGGTCTTACCTAACCCAGCTTCTGATACCCATTTTTAAATTGAGTTCCCAGCTAAATCTGTGCTTTCAAGGTTTATTAAGGTCTATGAGGATGACAGGAAGGCTGCACAGTTCTGAGATAATAAAGTCATATAGTGCTATTGAAGATGGACATATGAACAACCTCCCTTCAGAGGTGATACATATTTTCTTGATTTTTTTTTACTTGKAAAAATAGAAAGCTAAATTGAATTMATACACTTTCTTCTCTGAGTTCCCATATATGCATATAGAAACACAGCACCTGCACTTGGCAATTCCTTTGATTTTGCTCTCTCTTCACTTGCTGCATTKTCTTTTCCCTCTCATTCCTGCCCCTCAGAGCTCAGAAGTGTTTGCATCAAGGTATTATTCCTGGGCAGGAGTTTCAAGGGTATGATACTGCTATTGTTAGTGCCGTGCCAGAAAAGAAACGTCGAGATGGGAAAGAAGCACAGTGAGGACTTGATTGAACTCCCATAGGTCTCCCATTGAAGATTCTCATTATCTTGTACAGACTTTTGTTCATCTTGTGCTGTGTTGTAGCCCTGGTGACTGCAGGGTAGAAAGTCAGCTGCTTCTCTTCAGTGCGTGGAGTGTAGATTATTGAATCAAAAAAGTGACAGTTATGCATTTGCTATTCAGGAAAAAAAAAAAAAAAA